TAACAACTTCCCTAGCAGGACAAGTGATGAAGAAAGCGATTGCGACATATCCCCTATTCTCTGTACCCTTGCTCTATCTCCAAACGATCCTTAGCCCATGTCGGATTTGGCAATTGCTTTGTCCTAGTTGATGTACTATCTTCACCTGCCCTATGAGGACAATTATGTGGACATTTCACTTCTCCATGCGTGCGGGCGATACGGGCATGAACTTCTATAAGAAGATGTCAGTGTCCTCACTATAATTTCTTTTTTGTTTCGATATCATCCTTGAGAAGAAAACTATCTATTTACAACCTTGGCGTCTTGTCACTCATTCATCATAATCAAAATGCGTTCTTCACTTCTTCTTGCTGCCTTGCCCCTAGCAGCGGCAAGTCCTGTCAAGCGGGCTCCTCTCTATACTCGGGATGGCGAGGATGCTATTGAGGGAAAATACATTGTTGTGATGAAAGCCGGAGCTCAGGTCTCATCTGTCGACAGTGCCGTCGGTTCCATTGCCGCGAATGCAGATTACGTCTATAATAACCTCGGTGGCTTCTCAGCGTCTCTGACGGATGCGGAGGTTGAATCCCTCCGCAACGACCCCAGCGTGAGCATCACTAGTCTGCAAATCCCCACAGGAAATTCTCTAACCTGGTAGTTTGCCGATACAGGTTTCCTACATTCAGCAGAATGGAAAGGCTAGCATTTTCGCTACCCAGGAGAATGCCCCTTGGGGCCTAGCCCGTCTCTCTAATAAGTCACCCGGCTCTACAACCTACACATACAAGGAAGGCGGTGGTGAAGGTGTTTGTGTCTATGTTGTCGACACTGGTATTGATATTGAACATCCCGTAGGTTTATCCTTATATGTTGCAGCTCGAAATCTACCAATGCTAACGAATTACTTTTAGGATTTCGGTGGGCGTGCTACTTGGGTAGCGACTGTATTTGGGGATGTTGACTATGACGATCACTCTCATGGAACTCACTGTGCTGGCACTGTTGCTGGAACCAAGTACGGTGTCGCTAAAAATGCCAGCTTGTATGCTGTTAAGGCATTCGATGGGGCTGGCGACGGTTCTGAGTAAGTTGCGACCAGTTCATCCCAAGAAATCAATATTTGTATTCATCTAACACCAACTACAAACAGTGCGTCGATGATCGCTGGCATGGAGAAGGTTCTTGAGGATGCTCCTAACAGAGACTGCCCTAACGGTGTTGTTGTCAGTATGTCTTTTGGCGGCGGCAAGACTCAAGCCGTTAACGACGCTGCCAAAGCTCTTGTCGATGCAGGCTACTTCGCGGCGGCTGCTGCTGGTAATGGCGATTTCCTTAACAGGCCTATTGACGCTGGTACCGTCTCACCTGCATCCGAGGTTTCCTTGTGTACCGTTGGCGCCACCGATAGCGAAGATGCGACTGCTTACTTTTCCAACTATGGATCTGTTGTCGACATCTTCGGTCCCGGTGTCAGCGTGGAGAGCGATATCCCTAACGGCGGCACTGGCGTCAAGAGTGGTACTTCTATGGCTACACCGCATATTGCTGGCCTCGGTGCCTACTTCTTGAGCCAAGGAAAGGCCGCCTCAGGCCTATGCGAGCATCTACAGAGTATCGCGCTTCAGGGCGTTATCAGCGATGTTCGCACCGGAACGGTCAATCTGCTTGCCCAGAACGGCGAGGCACCTGCTTAAAAGATTGTAAAACTCTCAATCTTGTAGGAGAAATGAAATCATGATGATGCATCTAGAATTTACACGGTATAGCTCATACTGGGGGGTTGCTAGAGAATTAATAATAAGTCGAATGGCACATTTTTCATGTTAGAGAAAAAGTATTCGTGTTGGGTTCCCAGCTGAGATGATTCACTGAAAACTATATCGGTGTTTGTATGTCCTTTTCTTCCAAGCATTGCTCAACCTGCCGATGAGCACGAATTCTCTATACTTGAAGACCCATTGACACCAGAAAGTTCCGAGGTAAGTGCCAAACAGTTACTTCTGTGAAAGTTACTTCGCCAAACCAGGGAACAAAGTCAGCGGTAAGAATGGAATTGAAATATGTTCTTAGCCACATATATCTACAGGAACCTTCCAGTACCAACAAGGCCATTAACATCCTAGACCCTCCCTCGTCCCGAACAACAGCTAAGATTCATAATTAGAGCTCTTGTTACAGGTCAAGGCTCATGCTCAGAAGAACGCGACCAGGACTTGAACTTCCTCGAATCTAACTTTAGCTCGAACATTCGATCTATCTCACCCGGTGTCCGGTCCTTCATTTCTGGGATGAAATAATAGGTTCCAACAACGCCCACGAGACAAAACCCTGTATGAACGAATCCTGTTTTTGCGCCCAGGTTGCCCTCATCGGAATTGAAAATATACGGAATGCAAAATCCAAAAAGAGCACCAGCAAATCCAGCTGTCAACCAGCCGATTCCTTGAGCCTTGGCGCGAGTGTCTAAAGACGAAGCCTCAGACGCAACCGCGTAGGATGCCGGCCATACCCCAAGTCCTGAAACCACAACGATAACAATCATGACGATGGCCACATACCTGTTATTGCGAATGTTAGCAGCTTCTCCGACCCCAACAAAAACAAACTATGATTACTTACCAAATAACTACGGGGCCAGACCAGATGCCTGCGACGCCCATGGACGCCCAAAGAACGCCAGCTACTGATAGAGAAAGCAAGATTAAAAGCCGGCGCCCGTATTTCGAGATCACCCAGATGCTAATTAGGTTTGCAATAAATCCGGCCAAGATTCCAAATACCAGAACAATTAAACTTAGCTTGGCTTTCATACCAACAACTTGAGCAAAGTAGCTGGCTTTTGAAAGAATCAGTAGACCAAAGAACTGAGGCAATAAGTTTGAGAACATGATAATCAGTGTCCTTCGGCGGTTTGTGCCTCTGAAGCAATCCAAATAGGTCGCCTTAGCTTGCTCTCTTTCATGATCGATGTTGTGTCTGATGTCATCGATGACGGCCTGGGAATCCATGCCAGGTGAGAATAACTTTTCTTGTGCTTTCAGAGCGTCGTTAAATCTTTCTTTGCGGATCAAATATGTCGGGCTCTCTGGAATGATGTAGGCTACCACCAGAGGAACAGCAGAGAACAGCCACTGTGTCCCAAAGCAGATGATATAGCCATCCTTGATGTTCGTGCAGCCGTATATCACTCCTGCCCCAATCAGTTGGCCTAAGAGAACAAATGTTGGGATAAATGCTATGACGGAACCCCGTAGGATTACGGGCAGAACCTCCGACATGTAGGTCTGGGTTGCTGTGAGAACCATTCCAATCGCCATTCCTTGAAAGCCCTTGCCAATTAGAAACACGACGCGTCTCGAAGTGATGTCAGCTGGGAGGTTGGAGACAAAAAGTATCGCGACACCGATCGCGGACAAAAAGCTGCCCACGGCAATACAGATTCGTCGGCCAGTCCAATCTTGCATGAAGCCGCCTAGAATAGCGCCTACCATCGATGCACCTGGACTGGCAAAATTCCATAAACCAAGCCAAAGTGAAGGTAGAATCCACCCATTACCCCATTTCTGGCCATAGTCTTCTCTGTTGTGGGCTCAGATTAGTATCAATGGGCAACAAAGAGATAGGGGTAGAGCGTACTGGAAGCTGGGCATGGCAGAGACGGTTCCGACAATCACATAGTCGTATCCATACATCATGATGCAAGATGTCAATCCGAAGCAATACCAGACAATGCGGTGCCATTTCTTAGCAGCCGCCCAAATATCCAGATCCAGGACCTCCTCGACCTCCTCGGCCTGACCCCCCAAGGGAGACTTCGACTCAGATAAATCACGATCCATCGACGGCGCGTGTCCGCAGCAGCGAATGAGTTCGTTCACTTCAGCTCTCACGTCGGCAGTGTCATTCGTGATAACGCAAAATTGCGGATATTATGGACTTTGTGAACGCTCCGCCCCTCAGATGTTGCTAGAACTAAATGATGATGGTTTAGGAGGATTGGGAAATTGTTTGCCACAGCAGGGGGAAGACCTGACTGACACTGAGGTTACATCGTTCTACGGCTGAACAAGAGATGCAGGCTAGTGCTAGTAAATGATTGTTGCATCAATGCGACTCTATTATGCAAGAGTATGGCCAGGCCGGTCTATTACTATGTCCAAAAGAACAATGTGTATTAAACTGGAATCTCCTTGAGGGGACTGGAGGAGCTGGTCTTATATCTAAGGCTTTCAGACCCCAAGGGAGGAATCATCGGGGGTAGCACTACGGAAAGTCACCCTCGCATGCATGTAATAAGCAAGGAACTCCCCAAAGTGCCGATCACAGGGGGCAAGCATCCAATTCAGGACTCCTCGCCACCCATCTTGATCTACATAACCCACTCTCTAGACATGAGCACCCAAAAGAGGGTGCTGCAGGTGGAGTTTTGTCAGGAATCCAGTCAGTTGTCCACTGTAATATGGATCATGGGCTTTGAGCGCGATTATCCTCTTTGAAGCATCTCAACATGACCGTTCGCTCATTCAATGCATTGGAATATGAGCCCCTCAACCCCTCATCGAGATATTCGAGAGCGACAACACCGCACCCTGCTCTTCATAGCATTCCATCATCGTAAGATGACAAGAGGGATTGGAGGGGCCGCCGGTATTATATAATTGGAGGAATTGAAGCTCAGGTCAGAGAGCATCACAGCATGTTACATGCGGCTTATGTGTAGCGATCTGTTAATCGGTAATTTATTATTGCCCTTCATAAATTCGGGGACGCGGACAAAGCTTCGGTATTAGATGACAGCAGATGGGGAACCCAACAGGGTATTATCACATACAGTAAAGACTCGTTTTTTGGGAGACTGCAGACCACCCCAAGCCATTTGCTTTCACATGTATATTTCACCATTCTCTCTCAAAGTCAACAGGTCGATATGCGTTCCAAAATCAATGATACAGCCTTCCCTCCAGGGCCACCCATGTAACACTCCCACCTCGATAAACATCGCCATTCCAGAATAACTAATCCTCTTGATAGATAATCACGTCCGATTCGTGACCGACATATATAAAGGCGCACTTGGGCTGTAACCTAGCGCATTATAACCGCTCACGATCTTTATGCCCAGTGGATCGGAAGAGAGGCTAGCGACGAGGCCTTGGTCTTCGTTGGTGAACTTCTTGACCTCGATGAGTAAAAGCGCGAGGATAACGAGAATTCCGACAAGCGCAGCGGCTGTGATAGCTTGTATGATGCGCTCCAAAGCAGAATTCTGGCCCATCTTGGTGTTGTTGCTGTTGTTGTTACCGATTTCTGTGGACATTTGCGGGGTGGAATGCTTTTCCGGTGAACTTCTTTCAAGACGATTATTTGTTTTGCAAGTAGATGATTCAAATTAAGACAGAAATGGAGGAAATTGAAATCACTCAAGTGCCCCAGGAAATTGGGGGAAAGAGGACTTGTTTTATTTCATAACGGGACACGGGTGGCGTGTTTCAGCTACTCAGAGCCATCCCATCGTAGGCATAGTTTCCAATAGCGGACTCCTTATTTAATAAAGATAAGAGCTAGCAGCTAGTGGCCATTTGGAAGGCCATCCGTTTGATCTTAACAATTCCTGGATAGCAAACCAATCACGATGAGCGTTAGGGCTGATTCCTCAGTCCATCTCAGCCCCTCAGTAAATACCATCATGCAATGAATAAGGCTCATCACAACCGCTCCACTAGCACGAAGGACGGCTACTAAGATAGGCTAGAGCTGAGGCTCATTTTATCTTAAATTGGCAGGGCTGAACTCAGGATGGGAAACTTGTTCTCTGTCCAATAAGGGGCTTGTGTGTGTTTCCTCATATTCTAGCCATTATGACACTTGAAGGTATTATGATACACATATGATGCGGCCCCGGTTCTCGCAACATCCTAAACCTGGTTTCTCCGCAAGTCGATCTTTCATGCTTACCAACCTTTCCATGGGATCCATGCTTCCCGGACGATGTCATTCTCATCCACACCAAAGTAGACATAAAATGCCGCCGCAGTGATACATGAATGATTGCAATACAGGTTAACCCTCTGGCCAATCTTGAAGTTCTCACCCACGCGTTCGCTCTCGTTGGTCCCAAGTATTCCATGTTCTTGCGATAAGCGTACGACCGCCCAAGCTGGCTTCCCAATCACGCGGCCGAACCCTGAATAGCCACTGCTTTCCCGAGACAAAGCAACGACGCCGGCATTCACTAGAGCCTCATTTCGCTCCGGATAAACGCCACAAACTTCGGCAGCAACACGGATCGCCTGGTCTGTTTCTGAAACTAAGCCTGTAGACACCTGTTGTAGGTCATTGCAGGGGAAATTGCCTGGACAAAGAGTATAGTCAGTCAATATCTGCCATACTGAGAAGGTATATACATGGCGCTTCTCGGTTCCAAATGACCATACCTGCATGAAGCTCGACCTTCACATTTGACGGGATGTTTGCTTTCAGATACTGCACCACATGGGCAGTGGGAGTTGCTCCAATGGAAACAATGAGGGCACGGTCAGCAGGCAGCAGTGCGGCCGCATTAAGAACGCTTGATATTTCGGTTTCAAGCGTCTTTTGGGCCGCGTCCAATGACTTTCCAGCGTAAGAGTGTCCTGCGTGGCAATAGAAGCCGGAAATGTTCACTGCTGAAGACCTGTCGGCACGTTCCACCAATTTTTCCAAGGCTGTGCTATTTGCTGCAATACCAGCACGGCGGGAGCCGACGTCGAGCTTGATGAAGATATCCCAGGGTTGGGTGCCCGACTTCTCAAGAATATCAATTGTTCCTCATTGTCTACCAGCAGCAGGATCCGCACGCTTTCTCTTAGCTTGGCGAGGTCTTGTAGCGCTCCTGGGTAGATTGGCAGTCCGTATAGAATCTAGTATTGTTAGCACAGAAGCTCAGCAAAGCCAATGGTGTTTAAGTGTAAGACTTGCTTCATCTAGAAGACCCTCCTTGACCAACGGGAGACAACCACGAATCTCACAAATTGTCGATGCAATTATAGACCGATACTTGCCTCCTGCTATCATCAAGCGGGTAATTTCGAGTGTCTAGATTCCAATTTCTTCAATAGCCGCTACAACTCCAAGCATAGTTACCGACAAACCTTGAGAGTTTTAACATGGGGCCGAAAGCCAATCCCAAGTTTCTCGACATTCTCATGTAGAGTATTGACATTTTTCTTCAGTATTGGAAGATCAACGACAAGTGATGGCGTGGGCAGCTCTGAGGCCGGCCGCCCAATGTAAGATGCGTGATTCTCTAAAGCTCGATCCATAGCAACGGTTGAGACTCGACCAGTGAGAGCAATAGTTGAATTTGCAACCGAGTTTAAATACCTCCATGGGTCAAAGATGCATCTTAAATAATTGTGTTAAGAAACGGTCTAATGCGCAGTATATCCCTCGCCGCGGTCCGCGGTGAGAGGAATTCCGCGGCCAAGGCCAAGCTCCAATTCGACTCCACGAGCTCGCTAATTCCCGCATCAAAGTCGGGCGCATCATAGCCCGTCTTTTTTCGGATCCAAATCTTGTCAACGCCTGCTCACATCAGACCGCCGATTGAAATACATCCTTGGCCTAAATAACAGTAGGGGTGAAGGTCAGCACAAGTGCTGGTAGGAGTGATGGATGTGGCAAGGGGACGAAGGCGGTTGGTTCTCTCTGATCTCTCACACACGAATATTCCTAAAAGACTGGACAAAGTTGGTAAATAATACAATCATACCATTCAACCTTCTTCCTTATTGAGTGAGGATAACTACTCGTACATCATATATTCGTACCACGTTCCTAAATAGCCATTGTGTCTTCGTAATTTATTTCAGTGCCTTCCTTTCGAAACTTCCGTTTAGCAACATCCACAATGAGCAGTTTCAATTCTGGCGAGACGCTTGGATGATGTGCGATCTCCTTCAAAGCTGTGTGGCTTCGCGGCGAACCGTTCTCCTCCAAAAGCAGAATCATATCCTCTGTGACCGTAAAGTCGTCTACGAACATGTTGGATAGAGCAAGCAGTGCGGTGTCTGGATAAGGTGCACCTGCCGCAGCATTTAGAACCGCGGTGGTGAGGCGCGACACATCTCTGCGTGTCTCTATTATCCGACACAGGACCTGCTCAGCCTTGGGATTTTTGGTTGCCGCCATGAGGATCGGCTCCGCGTCTATGACGCGGTCCGGCTCAGTCTGAAGAAGGAGATCAAGCCACTTCAGGTCCTGCCAGTTCCTTGCGGCGTTTTCGAGCATGGCCTGACTTGCATGGCTCTTTATGAGTAGCTCCAGCAGGTTTGATGACTCTACTCCAAGTTTACCGCATTGGACCAGCATCTCGTTTGTAATGCGGACATGGTGACCCTTATTGATAATGAAGTTCTCCGTGTCGTCTTCAATAGGTGCTCTCAGATGCTGGTCCATGGCGGCCATGTATAATGAGTGAATTGACTTGAGGAATCCGTGCATGGTCTCATCGTTGATCATCCCGTTCCAGTAGCCCTGGCTGAAGTCAGGCAAGTTCTCGATGTCCAGTTTGCAAAAGTATGCAACGCAGCCTCTGATCACATCTCGCTCCGTCTTCTCGTAGTCAGGCTTCAACAACTCTCTAAGATTCGGGTCCGAGGCAATACCGAGCAAGGCGTACACCATATCCCTCGGATCCTGCGCCTTGCTGGAATGGAACATACATAAGAGGGTGTACAGATCATGCTTTTGGCCTCGCGACGAGTCTCGGCTTGGGTGGGATGGCATGATGTCGAGAATAGCCTGTGCTTGGCTGGAAGGCTTGAAAGCGAAGAGGTAGCATGAGAGGGCGAAGATACGAGCAGAGACGGATTTGGCACCACAGCACACAATTCCCCTTCTTGAATTGGCCACTTCTTGTATGATCCACACTCTTTCAAACCAGGGCCGCTGCAGAAGATCCTGTAGCCCCTTGCGCTGGTTCTGAATCAGGTCGGGGTATTTCTTAGCCAGTCGCGATTGACAGGTCGACCAAAGCCATTGCCATCTCCCGTCCGTCGTGGTCCAATCCCTGCACGCGACGGACGCAGACAGCGTCTCCAAAGTTTTGAGCGAATCGAGTGCGACATTGGTGGCGTACGTTGGTTGTCCCAGCCAATAGATGACGGAATCGGCGTTCTTGTAGATGTCTGTCATCTGGCTGACCTGGTGGTTCCGTTCCCGCGAGTTTTCTTGATCGATGCATAGTGCGTCAATCCAAAGGATTCGGTCGCAGTGTAGTTGTCGCAGGTGGTTGAGGGCTTGGTACAGGTTGATGGTCACGGCCAGCCTCTTTCCGTTGGCGACAATTGTCTCGGGCTTGTCGTTGCCGCCCCAAGTGTACGACAGCGCCTCGTACGGGATGCCCCCCGCAGTGGCGACGAAAGATTGGAATATTTCGCATTCGATGGTTGGGCCATGGCCGGCGACGAGTCGTAGGAGACGGAACGACGGCCGCTCCAAATTGAGGCGAGAGTACTCAAATGAAGCCATCTGTCTCAGACTTGGGCGATCGTTTGACGCGCAAAAGGAATTGAAAATGCCTGAGCGACAGCTTGCCCTTAAATCGATCGGCAGATGGGGCAGTGTCTTACTTATATGCACTCCCATGTCGCTTTGCAGGCACTGCCACTCCGAGTCAGCCCTACCAGACCGGCATTGATCCGCCATCCGCTCCGTATCATGCCATATTCGGGAGCCAAATCAAAAGCTAACTCATACGCCAGAAGTATTCCTTGATTATTTGGAAAAATAATTCGAGTCGTTCCATTTTTGCCATTCGGTAAAGTCCATCTCGCTAGTAAAAGAAGCAGCTGGATGTTATGAGCCAATGGACATGGAGGAAACGAGCAGCGCTGTAGCCTAGATCTGCCTTGCTGCGGGGTAACCACCCATGCTCACATGGAAACCAGGTCATGAACGAAGGTGATCGAATTGCATGGCTGTGTGTCGTGCCCTACCCCGGCCTACAGTATGAGCTTGTGTTGCCAATTGCCATATGGAACAGTACATGGCTAACAACGCAGAGCAAAGCTAGAGTTACTGGCTGAGGACCAACGGCATCGCCGAATGTCGTTCATACATTTGTGATGTGACATAACAACAACGGTGAGAGTGAGAAAATTCTCGATTTCCAATGGTTTCGGTCGGCGTTATTCACTAGTTTGATTCCTTGAGCACGCAGCTTCAAAGGCAATTTTTGCGCCCGAGTCCCCAAAAAATTCAAACCAGACCATCGATACAAGAAACCTCCTGGCCTCAGACCACGAAGAGATTGGCAATTCCTTGATTGTGTCTGCAAGCCAAGCTTCAAGCCATGTATCTGCCGTTTCAGGAACGCCAAATTGGAAACGAAGCATAATCATCCAAAACAAGAGCGGACAAGGAACATCGTCGACCGCACTACGCAGCTGGAGCAACGCCACCTCAAACCGCACCAAAGCCCGACGCTGGGCTTTATTGTTGGGATGCCACCCAAACATCAGCTTCGTCATCACAACAAGCAAACCCATGCGCAGAGCATTATTCAGGGAGCCTTCCGGAAAGGAGAGGTGGAGGAGTCGATACTGCATCGAGACAGTGATTTTGCCGTACGTGCCTTGGTCAATCCGGATGTTTGATTTCTGGTTGCGGTTACACATGAATGCGAACTGCCTCATGTCCAGCCACACATTTACGAGTTTCGGTTCAAGAGAGCATATGTCCTGGAGCTGGATGCTAATGGGCCCAGTGTCTAAGGGCTCGTCTTGATCGACTAGGTACCGATCCCACGATATTGACTCCTGAAAGAACATCGGAGGCCGGTCCTCAAGAAAAGCGAAGGCACTATCAACTCTGAAGAAACAATTAACAACTTTGGATAGGGAGTCAAATAAAGCCTAGGTTTCTCACCTGCATATCTTTGTTCGCATCTCGCGGAGGTTTGACTTCAAAGACGTCAGTCCCCCTCGCGCTTCTACAAGTGCCCGGAGACCTTGTACGTGTGCCTCGAAGCCTTTAGTGTCTCCAGATCCCTCTGCTGCGTGTGCAAGAGTAATAATGGCTAACGCAGTTGGATCAGACAGCGCGACAAGTTGATCAGGAGAACTTAGCCTTTGCCGAAGTAGTTGAAAGGTCTTGGTTCCATGCCTATATGTCTCATTACTTCTTTGTAGGCCTAGCAGCATCTCCTTGTATGCAAGAACGGCAAACTGGATGGCGTGAAAGTATAAGGGGTCATTAAAGAGAAAGAGGTAGAGCGACCTGTCCACGGCTGTGTGCCGTACACATACTTCGGTGGGATAAAACGAGTCTCTAATATGTGTAAGATCTACTCACATAGTCAGCATACATCAACGATGTCTCATTACTGGGATTTTCCAGACGAACATTGAACGGCATTCTCAATCGTGTAAGGTTTAGTATTTTCAGCGAAAGTTACAAAAGAAATCTCGGAGCCGACGGGTCGTGAGGCGCTAAGATTGTCCCTTCTTCGATCCTGGGTGCGTGTAAGCTGCAGCTGATGCCGCTTCCGGGCCGGTTTCCTGTCGGACCCCCCATCACTCTCATCTTTCGATCCACGCTGCTGGATCCGCCATTTGAAAGTTGTCCCCGAGCGGATAGGGATTTGTGATTTGCCAGATTTCTGGTCTCGTCTGGGCTTTATGTTACAACCCTTGGTCGTTTTCATATTGAACTTGCTCATGAGCAGTACTTAGGGATCAATCGATTATTCTTATTCAATTGCACGATATATCATAACGCCCATTAATGCATTAACATAAATCGAACGGGGCGTTCCAGCCTCTTGAGAAACAATTTTGGGCTCAGAATTGAGGATTGAAAAGGGGGCTTCCGGGAATATGGTCCGAGAGCTCTGGTCGGAATAATATTCTTCCGTGCGCATTCTTCGGCGCAGCAAATGGTCAAATCCCTCCTAAATAAAGGATTAATATGAAAAGAATTGTGCGCTCAATAATAAGAAAAGATTTTAGAAAATTTCGAGCCAAAAAAAAAAAGAAGTTGAGACTACATTAAATGCTCCCTGGTAAAGCGAAAAGGCCGAAGTTGATCATATAAGAGAAAATTCAACACCAGTGTCACTCAGTCGATAATAAGTGACAAAATAATTAAGCAAAAGGAGATTCTGCTTAAAAAACCTGTCCTTGGCCTGTTCCGAATGATAATTTTTATGCATTAATTCCCTTAGTTAATGGATAATGACAGAGCGAAGAGAAAAAAGTCAATCGACTCTGTGTTATAGGGTAGGTCACTCCAATGGTTGAAGATCGCTTAGTAATTCGGGTTTGAGGATATTCTGCCGCGGTTGCCCGCTTTTCGTGTCTGTAAACATCACATGACATCGCGAATGAAGGGGTAATTATGACGGATCCGTCGGACATCACATGATTTGCGTTGCAGTGAATAACACGTATCGACAAGCACTTCATTCCGTGTCCTTCACTCACCCGTGGCGCCCGACGCTGCCTAATCGTCATCGAACATGGATAATATTTACATAGTTATTCTGGCATTCATTGCCATCTATGTGTTTGGGGTAAGTCATCCCTTCCTGCGTGTCGCTGGCGTAGCGCTGGATCGGTCGCTCAGGAGCCGAGTATGCTGACACGTGATGGCCGCTAGCAATTCTTCCAAGACCGCACACCAATCCCCGAGACCTCGGGAAATGTGTTCAAGATCGCCAAAGCTGAGGAGCTGGATGCCGTCTTGTCCTCGACCACCCATGTGGTTGTAGACTTTTATGCCGACTGGTGCCCACCCTGTCGCGCTATTGCGCCCATCTTTTCCAAGCTGGCCGACGCCCACACAACCAAGAACCAGCTCGCTTTCGCCAAGGTCAATGTGGACCATGTGAAGAACGTTTCTGCTCGCTATGGCGTATCTGCCATGCCGACTTTTGTCATTTTCCAGAAGGGTGCCCCGACGGGTGTGGCCGTGAAGGGCTTGGAGGGTCGTCAGTCCGTGACTGTCACCGCCGACGGGCTTGTTAACAGAATTCGTGGTGCGGACCGAGTCGCGCTTGAAGCAGTGGTAGCTACGCTGGTTGCTCGGATCGAGGGCCCAAGCGATGCTGGCGCAAGCGAGGAGAAGCAGTAATTGTCGATAGTTGTTCCCTTTATCAAAGGAAACATGCTCAAACCGAGGTAGCCCCATAGGAGGCCTCCAAATTGATCACCAGGGACATAGCAAAATTGATTACTACGGAAGTTCTTCTCCTGACATTAATGTGCTTGTCACCGTGCCGAAAATTCTTGTTGATTTGCCGATGTGATAACGCATAAACCCGCACTCTCGATTCATCATCTGGAAACTTAGTCCGGAGCACTCGTGTGAATGTTGATGCGATGGCCGCCAGCCTCCCGAGGAGTGATTAGATCCCAGTAAAGTTGTGATATTGTAACATTCTGGGTCTCTACAACCGATTCATGTTTTTCAGTTGCCTCATCCCAACTCATATGAAACGAAAAGCTGAAAGAGACGGTAAAGTCCCACTTTTGCCGAGGAAATGCGTCTTCATCACAACTGTTGCAATTGCTTTTCAAGCAAATTGGTATAAGCGGCTCCGAATGCAAACGGTGCATCCTTTCCTCGATTATTGGACTTGTGGGTGTGGCTCTTAGGAATTCGTTTTCGCATCCCCTATACGGCTCAAAGGGACACTCTTATAAGCTCTCGTATTCTCAGCTTGTAGGAAAGGCTCGCACCCTAGCCAGTTTCGTCGAGTAATCAGATCGAGAGACCCCATTAGAGAATCCGAGTTTCAGAACAAATATGGTCATTCGTCAGATGAAATTGGTGCCTTCTTGGTAACTTGAACTTTTCCCAATCTAGCCACCCATATTACAGTTCCGGCGGCACGGTACCCCTGAACGGTGTGCCACCTCCTCACCGATATGTTCCTGGCTCATATTCGAGAACGGGCTGTAGGGAGTTTTTGGCCACATTTGATTCATACCCTATGAAGTTGGTGTGGAGGCTGGTTTCACATGTTAGCCCTCGGCTTTATCCAACCGCGGATCCATCCTAGTGCCTACACTACGCTCCAAGTATTCCGGGCAACACTATTATTGATTTTGTGAAAAAGAGTTAGGTTCTTAATTGTGATCCAAGGTTTTTCTCCATTACTTATTCGAATGATCGACAATGGGGAAGAGGGTTCGGGAATTAGGAGAGATCATAGTCTGAGAAACACTCACAAAGCCAAATCTTGGAAATCTACCCACACAGCAAAATTATCTTAAATTGCCACACGAAAATTTTCTGGTACTCTGCCGTTTCAAATCTTCAATAAATGTGCCTGCCAGGGTGTATACTCTAAAGTCCCTTGCATATTTCTCACCCACCTTCTGCACAAGCCCCAAAAGGGATTTCGTGGTTAGGATTCCGAGGCGTGCCGTGAGCTGCACCTCGAGAACCACAAAACAAGGGGGCCATGTGCTGATAACTCTGGAGATTGCGGGGAAACAGGGATCGACCGGGTGGAAGGAACTGGGGAATTCAATCTTCAACCAGGATCTCGAGCAGGCGGAGACGTGGCTTTCCCGGAAGGTGATTATTAGGACTCTGCCCAATTTTATGCATTATTTATGAATTAGGACATTCTGCAACATGTTATGTGTTTCTCCTTTAATTTAATCATTCCCTCCTTCTAAACATACATTGTTTCATTCAATACCGAGGAGCTATCTACGTCTGAAGTAGAGACTACTGAGTGCTACCGGGGAAAGCCATGCCGATTCCTCTCAAGAGCCATGCTTCCTGGCTAACTTTACTATTCTTGTCTACTGCCGTTGTGTCGACAAGCGGCGATGTGTTGTCAGGGCTTTCAGCGTATCCAGACTGTGCGGTAAGTCGGAATTTTACGTGATTCAACCTACAGAAATGGGTGATGAGGAATAATGAGAACATGATACTAAATTCATGCTCAGAAGCCTTGTATCATTTCGGCGATTCAAGGTGGTATTTGTGACCTTGATAATAAAGCATGTATATGCAGCAGTGCAGCATTTTCGGCGAATGTCACCTCATGTGTTGAGACAAAATGCACGATACCAGAGTCTTTAGGTAGGTCGCCGACTCCCCGCATGTGATTACCCCTCGAGTACGGACCCTCTTTCTAACACCTTTCTGTGATAGTCGTTATGAATATAAGCCGTACCGATTGCGATGAGACACCTCGAGATCGTTCGATTGAATTGAAGGTCGTGACGATCACTGTTGGGACAGTCGCCGGGCTATTCGTCATGCTTCGCTTTGGATACAAGTTGATGATATCTAATGTGGCTCTCGCCATGGACGACTGGTTAACCCTCGCCACCATGATCGTCGTGATACCAAACTTGATTATCACCATCAACGGAACAATACCAAATGGGCTCGGTAGGGACATTTGGTCCCTCACACCGGATCAGATCACGACCGTTATACGATTTTTCTTTACAACGGCCGTTCTATACTTCGCATTGACGACACTTGTGAAGCTTTTATTCCTTAGTTTCTACCTCAAGGTCTTCCCTACTCGTGTTGTTCAACAGGTCCTGTGGGGAACCTTTGCAATGACAGCTTTATGGGGGGTCGGGTTTGTGTTCCTTACTATTTTCCAATGCCAGCCAATATCTTACTTCTGGCAGAAGTGGGATGGACTGCATGATGGGACATGTTTAGATGCAAATACCATCGCTTGGGCCAATGCGGCGTCCGGCATCGCTTTGGACGTGTGGATTCTTGCGATCCCGTTATTACAGCTCAGGAAACTGCAATTGAAGTGGAAAAAGAAGATTGGAGTTGTTCTAATGTTTCTCGTGGGAGCATTGTAGGTGTCTCATAAAAGCCCCTCCCTAGGTGATTATTTTCGAATCATACTAACGCTGAGTAGTGTGACAATCATCAGCATTCTACGCCTCAAGTCACTTGTCAACTTCGCGATGTCATCGAATGCGACTTGGGATTATTTTGATGTCACTATGTGGTCGATAATAGAGATATCTGTCGGAGTCATGTGTGCATGCCTCCCTACGGTCCGCCTGCTCCTTGTCAGAATATTCCCGGCCTTGAGCGACAGCCATTCCCGAAGTTTAGGCCAAACAGATCATCAATATGCAAGTGGATTACGTTCGAGACATCGGAGCACTGCGGGAAATACAGTCCAGGGGGCTGGTGCATCAAAACTTGGCCGAAATAGCTCCCCAAAGGAGGGATTGTCTGGAATCATGATGCAAAAGGCGTATTCAGTTCACTATACTGAAGTTGAGGATAGGGGCTCGGTTGCACTCAGCGATATTGGACTTTTAAGAAGCGAGCGTGACATGGAGAGGAAGTCGTAGGAATTATTGTCGGATGAATCATGTTTCTGTTCTGCTGTGTTTTAGCTCGGCTGCCAGAGTTTGACATTACCTATACTCAAAAGCAATTTGGCTGCCACAGTTCTGCTCATACATCCAAGTATTAGTAGAAAGGTTTGACCTTAATACCTAATAAAATAATTAAAGACCCTGTGGTATATCTTGAAGAGCTTAGGAAGACTGTCCGAAGCTAATAGCACTTATGATGGCCTGTAAGAGAGCTAGGTGGCAGAAATTCATAAATTTGCGCTTTAGAAGATCCTAACGTGTCTTTCCCATACCTCAATGCAAATACCAAATTTGAATAGTCTAAAAACTGTAACCGACTCTTTCCCTGATTAGACTGAGATAGCAACAACAAGAGGTTTGAACAAAACCTTAGACAGAATACTGCAACCACCGATCCAACTCAGATGTCCAGTTCAAAACTGGGTCATCAAACGCCAGTCCGATGCCATGGCTACCCTTTGGAAGAATGAGGCTCTGAAATGGCCGATCATACTTGATCATACTTTGGATAAAGAGGATCGAGTTTTCAACTGGGACGGTCGCATCGTTGGCTGTATGAAACAGGAAAATGGGCGGCGTTGACTCCGAGACTAGGTTCTGTGCAGACAGTTTTTCTACTAGTTCCGGGGAAGGATTCTCGCCAATCAGGTTATTCCGAGATCCTTTGTGCGTCAAAGGCTCCTCCATAGTAATCACTGGGTAAGCTAGAATGCCAAAATCAAGCTCGGCTTCGGGATTGGTGACTGTGGTGGCAGCCAGATGGCCTCCAGCTGAGTAGCCCCAGATGCCAAGCTTCTTGACCTTGTTCAGGGATCGAATGTAGCGGACCGCTTCCAATGCTTCATTCTGAGGAGCCGGATATAGTGGAGTGGGAGCTTTATCGGCAGCCGCATAGTCTAGCACCCAGGCATCGTACCCACGCTCATTTAGATATTTGGTCGAGTTGCTCCCTTCTCTGGGAAGCGAGACGTAAGAATATCCTCCGCCAGGAAGAACGAGGAATCCAATTCCGCGACAGTTGTTTTTGGGAGCTGGATAGTATACCAGCCGCGAGCTATTCAGACTAAGTTCGTGTTAGTACCAGGGTGGCCTGGTAGGATTCACATGAGGTCATGGGTGAAGAACCTGTCTCTTGAGCTTAGAATCTGTCCTTCCGCTGTCGGAAGAGCGGTGGCCATACTAGCAAGCCAGACAATTGACGCCGTTACAGCTCTGAGAAACTTCATTTTGTCAGACAATATTGAAAATCGGAAGAAACAGATCCTAGATTGCAAGTACCTCAATCACGTCTCCAGCAGTTCGGGGCTTGGCTTTCAATTTATAAATGTCAACTGCCGGGGTAAATAGCCGCAGATTGCAACCCAGATTTCTCACGATCTCCCCGCACTTGGAGCTACATGAACATGATTGACGGGAAAATTTGTTCTTCCGGATGTGCGGGTGAGCGAGGTCATTTCGGCTAAGTACCGTCGTTGTTACTACCGAGTTTCGTACTGTGCATGGCTCCAGACTTTTGTTATACGGCGCTCACTTGGGACTCTGTATTCATTGGAAGATTTGAATGATTGTCACTCGAACTTTTTTTACTATGTTATCGTATTATAATGAACAGAAATTGGGCACAGCCGTAGGGCAGCAATCAGGCCAAATAAGTTGGGTTGGAAAAGCCTGCTTACCCTTCCCTTTTTTCACAAATTGGCATAACAAAAGGCCCCGACCCTTGCTTTGGAACACTGACTACAGTGAGAAGAGCTGGAAACACTGTACATACCTTCTGAGGGACATTGTCCACTGACATATTTATTTGAGCATGACATTCCAAGGTGTACTATGCCAACTAGCCCTTAAGACAACCACTCGTTTGTATATATCTGTAGTAGATGATTCGGTCAACTGAAGGGACAGAACGAGATTGAGATTGCGGAAGAATAACATCGGCCTGGTGAGAATGAGTATGTTTGCTTCCCCCCTCTCACGGCGTACAATTATGCAGAGAAAAAGCCCAGACACAGCGATCGGAAATGCTCAATGTTCCTACTTTTGGAAGTGAGCAGTCGCGCTTTTTTCGGACTGTTCCGAATGGAACTTTTGATCCTTGTAAATGGAAGAGTAATATGAAAACCTGAATGGTCAGATATTTTCCAACCTCGAGGTTCTGCGCCGCCGCACTTTCTCGTTCGGGTCCTCTCGCTGAAGATCCCAACGTCATCCAGCCGCAAACTGACCAAACCCTGGACAATTCTTTTGTAAGGGCCTTCGGCTTGGCAGCAAGTTTTTAGGCATTCACGTACTGTGTCCGCGGGGGCTATAATCTCGATGTCTCTTGTTTTCATGCATTGGAGATATACCACGGATGTCCACGATCCAATAGCTTGCATGCTGCTAACAACAGTGTGAGGACAAATGATAGAGAGGATTATATAGATGAGTCTTAATCTATGCCTGATCCACATCTTTCCCTTTGTGTGGTTGCGTGGGCAATATGGTTCATTATTCGGACATATAAATGTACCTCCCCCAGGCTACCATTGTCTTTATATGGGACAAGAATATTAACGAATTTTGTGAGTTGGTGCTAAATGAATTTTTGTCGGCGGCAATTCTAATGCAAAAGAAAATGCATGTATATTCTGAATATACTAAGCATGCTAGTGACGCAGTCGCAACTCTCCTAGCAACGAACTGTCGCTATTGCAAGATTGTTTATTCTTGCCTGGAATTTGATGTTTTGGTTGTCTTGACTCTTGATTATTAGCTATTTTCATGCGTCTTGTTACTCCTTCTCATTGAGCTTCCTACACCAGTAGCCAATTTTGCATCGTGGACTATCCTCTCGGTGAAAATCTCTGTATTTTTTAGGTAATCCCACTTAATACCGAGACCACTACGTGTGAGACTGGTAGATTTCATAGCATAACTTGGTTGCCGATTACACAGGCAGTATTTCTGAGAATGATGACTGCTAGATCGTGCGAAGATTTGCTTATCGCCGCCAGTCTTCCTGTTAAATCTTACGGATCTTGGAGGACGTTGTTTGGAAACACAAAGGACGATATTGAAAAGCGCTATGATCGATTCATTCCTGAAGTGAAAGATGGCCCATTGTGTTGAGTTGTCGGGCTCTGGTATCTTCTCTTGGTCTTGGACTTTATCTATTACTCTTTCTCTTACGTGAAAAATGGTAGCCAGGGCTTTCGGGTCGGTCTTTGATTCAATATAATTTGCTGAGACAAGTCTCTCCCGTCTCCTCTTATGATATGGGCAACTTGACATAAATGATGCGAATGCAAGGCGCGTATTTTTCAAATGTTCATAGTCAATTTGCTTGCGAATGTATTATTTAAGCTTTCAAAAGACCGCGAAGCACTTCGCACACAGCATCACCGACCTCACTGCACTTGGCCTTCCCGCCTAAATCTCCAGTTCTGATCTCCAAGCCACCGTTTTCCTTTGTATCTAATACTTTTACAACGGCCTGTTCCACGGCTGCAGCTTCCTTCTCGAGGGTAAACGAGTAGCGAAGCATCATGGCTAGACTCAGAATCTCCGCCACGGGGTTTGCAAGCCCCTTCCCTGAGATATCTGGCGCACTTCCATGCACCGGTTCATAAATCCCCTTGCACGAGCCCTCGCCAGGCACACCAGCCAGACTGGCGCTGGGAAGCAGGCCAAGCGTGCCGATGATGCCGCCAGAGATGTCGGAGAGGACATCCCCAAACGTGTTGTCCGTGTGGACGGCGCTGTGGTTGAATCGCTTGGGCTCCTTGACCATTAACATGGCCATGCTGTCGGCAAGCTGGTGTCGCAGCTCCACGTCGGGGATCTCTCGCTCGAAGATGTCTGTGGTTGCGCGTCTCCAGAGACGTCCGCTTGCCAGGACATTGGCCTTGTCGGCGCTCCAGACGACTGGCTTGTTGCCGACCTCTCCCTTGGGTGCGCTCGCGTGCAGGATTCGCGCAACGGCAGCGCTCACACGGGCCAATCTGTCAACCTCACGCCGCTCATATATCCATAAGTCAGACCCCTTGTCCGTCTCCTCATGCTTCTCGCCGAAGTAGGCCCCGCCGCAGTTCTCTCGCACCACGATGAACTTGGTCCCCGCGACAAGCTCGGGCTTGATGGGCGACGCATCGACAAGCGATGGAATGAGGATCTCGCACGGTCGGAGATTGGCGAATGCATCCAGTCGATGGCGCAGCTGCAGCAGGCCAGACTCGGGCGTTGGGTCAGCGCCCGCCCACTCAGGGCCACCGATGCTACCGAAGAGGACGGCATCGCTGGCCACGGCCTTTTCGAGCACGGCTTCCGTGATGGGCTTGCCGTGCTTGTCGATGCTGCAGCCACCTACGATGTCTGCGTCGCGTTGGAACTTGATATCCGGGCGGCTGTCCTCGACGACATCGAGGACCTTGAGGGCCTCGGCCATGATTTCTGGGCCGACATGGTCACCTGAGAGAATCAAGATC